TCAGTCTGCTCAGATAAAAGTGTTGTAGTTTGTCTGTTTGATTCTAATACTCCCCTCTTTTCCTCAGTCTGCTCAGATAAAAGTGTTGTAGTTTGTCTGTTTGATTCTAATACTCCCCTCTTTTCCACAGTCTGCTCAGATAAAAGTGTTGTAGTTTGTCTGTTTGATTCTAATACTCCCCTCTTTTCCTCAGTCTGCTCAGATAAAAGTGTTGTAGTTTGTCTGTTTGATTCTAATACTCCCCTCTTTTCCTAAGTCTGCTCAGATAAAAGTGTTGTAGTTTGTCTGTTTGATTCTAATACTCCCCTCTTTTTCTCAGTCTGCTCACATAAAAGTGTTGAAGTTTGTCTGTTTGATTATAATACTCCCCTCTTTTTCTCAGTCTGCTCACATAAAAGTGTTGAAGTTTGTCTGTTTGATTCTAATACTCCCCTCTTTTCCTCAGTCTGCTCAGATAAAAGTGTTGTAGTTTGTCTGTTTGACTCTAACACTCCGCTCTTGTCCTCAGTCTGCTCACATAAAAGTGTTGAAGTTTGTCTGTTTGATTTTAATACTCCGCTCTTGTCCCTAGTCCGCTTAGATAAAAGTGTTTAGTTTGTCTGTTTGATTCTAATACTCCCCTCTTTTCCTCAGTCTGCTCAGATAAAAGTGTTGTAGTTTGTCTGTTTGATTCTAATACTCTGCTCTTGTCCTCAGTCTGCTTACATAAAAGTGTTGAAGTTTGTCTGTTTGATTCTAATACTCCGCTCTTGTCCTTGTCTGCTCAGATAAAAGTGTTGTAGTTTGTCTGTTTGATTCTAATACTCCATTCTTGTTCTTAGCTTTTCTTTGTCTGTGTCTGATTCTAAAGCTCCGTTCTTATCCTGAGTTTGTTTAGATTAAAAAAAAAAACATTGTAGTTTGTACATTTCTGAGTTTGACATTCGGTTCTTGTCCGGAGTTTGTTCAAACAAAAATGGCAGCAGAATAAAAAGTCAAACTTGACACACAGCTGCTAGAAATTGATGACTTTGATTAAATTCATGTGTATACGGATAACAATGACGCTGACATTTTAACATTGCGTTCAGATCGAATCATGGTAGATTCATCAATATGCTGGCACAAAATTGTAAGGGGACTCCCTGTGAAACGATGGAGCTGATTAAACACACAAACAGGCAATGAATTAAAATCAGAGTTGTGTTTACACTCTGTCACCAGATCAGTCAGCTTTGATCTCATAGTTGACCAACAGCGATCAATTTGTTGTTGACCCAGTAAAGTGATTCGTACACAGTTAGTGATTAGTGTATGCTGTTCTGTTTGAGCAATCAGGCAACTAATGAGAATTAGCTCTACTGCTGTGTTTGTATTTAGCTTTCAGCTAATAAGGTAGTTGTAGATAACACACATACAGATTGGGAAATACATTGATTTGAGTTAAACACTGACAGGACAGCAACAGGGACATTTCCATAGGCGCCCTGTCTCCATCTTCAGTAGCCAGAACAATGCTTATGATGCCAGCCATATTCTGAGTTGTGTTTTTCTCATGAGGGTCGAGTGTAGTCTGGATTCTCTAGTCACCCTCTCACACCCCATTTGCATCATGTATTCTAAGGGGGCCTATGCCACATTTGTCGCGGCAGAGTTTTGCAATGGTGCATAATCAACCAATCTGGCTTCATATTCATTTCTCAACACACCAGCATCTCCCTGGAAAAGAAAGATTGAAAACAGTGTTTCCCCAACTTTTCTTAGTTGCGGCGTCTTTCGTCAGTTAGAATTTTTCCACGGTGCCCTAACCTAAGTAAAAGTTTGACTATTCGTATGTAAGATATTTTTAAAAAAAATGTCCATCTTCGAATGTATCTCGGCGCCCCTGTGGCAAGGGAAAAAAGAGAAAACGAGAAAGGGGAAGAAGTAAAAATGTCAGGTTTAGTGAAATCGTGTTGGTGTATGTGTGAGTATGTTTGTGTGTGCGCGTGTATGTGTTGGTGTGTGCGTGTGTAAGTTAGTTTTAAAAGAATGCAGAAATCTTGTAATTTTTGTTACACAGACAGTGTGTGGTTGGTTAGGATGGACAGACTAAGACTCTCAATCTAAGACTCTAAGATGTAATGGTACATTCACATCACTGTTGGTTTCTATAGTGTGTATGTGAATGCTGAACAAAATTGTTCAGTGAAAAAGCTTGTCTGGTGTGACATTTCAGAAACCGACTCATCAAAACAAATTAAAACTTTTGGTTATGATAGATATCCCCCCTCCCACTTCTGCATTTCCATTAACATGTACTGGCATATCAAAGCACTGTGTACAAAGTTGAGTACATAAGATGTACTTGGAATTGCGAGAAGGTCAGCAAATAAATTCAACAAATCAATCGTTATTGATTAGTGATTGTACGGCTGGAAAACAGAGAGCTTACTTATGAGACATGTTTGTCACCACTAAATGAATTACACTTGACTCTTGACGTGAGTTTCATATAGGGCTCGATCCTTGCCCTCCTACCAGCAAAAGAGAGTGTTGTTGTGTTCAAGGTTTTGACTTTCCGCCAAGATAAGTGAGTGTTCGTACGGATTGTTTTAAATTCTTCTATTTGTTCCTTTTGCACGCCTCTAGCCAAATGACTTCCACGAAACTATTGTGAATTTGACAACGCGTACACCTGGCAACCCTGCATTCAGCATTTGTTATAGCGGCGTTCGAGTTCCTTGTACAAAATTCACGTTCGATGCAGATTTACATCATTAAAAACTCTTTCAAATTCATCAGCAACAAGCAGGTTTTAAACAGAATGTCACTCTCGTCATGTCACGTATGAAGTATCTATGTTTCTAGCTAATTCTCCAGTTCAATATTCTTCACAGCCGATGCATCTTTAATGACGTGTATCCACCTTCGCGATGGTGGACCGCTGCCTCTTTTACCAAAACTGTACTTTCAAGTTTCTAGGCATAAATAGTGTGTTAATCTCCCTTTACTTTCAACATCGACGTGGCTGAGCACAGCAACCTTCAGCAGTCTTTTAGATTGTCAGAGCAAGTCACTGCCCTGCTGTCACATACTATTGCTAACAGTAGAGAGCCAGAGCAAGTGAGTACCCTGCTATGACATACTATTGTTAACAGTAGATAGTCAGAGCAAGTGAGTACCCTGCTATGACATACTATTGTTAACAGTAGATAGTCAGAGCAAGTGAGTACCCTGCTATGACATACTATTGTTAACAGTAGATAGCCAGAGCAAGTGAGTACCCTGCTATGACATACTATTGTTAACAGTAGACAGCCAGAGCAAGTGAGTACCCAGCTATGACATACTATTGTTAACAGTAGATAGCCAGAGCAAGTGAGTACCCTGCTATGACATACTATTGTTAACAGTAGATAGTCAGAGCAAGTGAGTACCCTGCTATGACATACTATTGTTAACAGTAGATAGTCAGAGCAAGTGAGTACCCTGCTATGACATACTATTGTTAACAGTAGATAGCCAGAGCAAGTGAGTACCCTGCTATGACATACTATTGTTAACAGTAGATAGCCAGAGCAAGTGAGTACCCTGCTATGACATACTATTGTTAACAGTAGATAGCCAGAGCAAGTGAGTACCCAGCTATTACATGCTATTGCTAACAGTAGACAGCCAGAGCAAGTGAGTACCCTGATATGACATGATATTGCTAAATGTATTTTTGTGGGGGTGGGGGGCCTCAAAGGACCTGAGCGCCCAGGTTCCAGCGCCTTCACTCCCGCCCCTACCGAATATTTACTTTACGGCAGCGCTCCTGATGAGAACAGCCACAGTTTGGAATCTCTTGTCACTGTAAAATAATGCCCAAGTGGCACAGTTGTCAGTGAGTGTGTACCAGGCATAGACACTTGGCCTGTAAAGGTCGTAGGTTTAAACCTACAGTGAGTCTGATTTTTTGAAATGACAAAAACGACCGGTCGACCTAGCCTGAAATAGATACCAGGTAATTTACTGGGAAGTAAATGTGGCGGCGGGAATTTAACCACCTATCGAGTGCCGACTGGTCGAAAAAGTTTACGTCTAGCGCTGTAAACCTAATACTCTAAAGGCGTGGTAAAAATCATTTTTTTTGTGTGGTTCACTGTAGAAACGCATGCAAGGAAACATAAGTGTAAATTGATATCTAAGAATGATCTGCCCCTTCACACGACACAACACTGTCAGTAATAAACACTTCCAACTGTGTGTTGTCGACATTGTATGTGTTAATCGGCCTTGAAGACGTGCCTGTGTCCCACTAACGAACAAACAACGCCACATGTTTGTTAGAATCAACACGAGACTACAGATCAAAACCTCCCTGGACTGGCAATGGCAAACATTCTTTCACAGGATGCCCATTATTGGATGCCAAGACCGGCTTTTTACTGTTGTCAGCTGGTAATTTCACAACGATTTTTGGTCACGTGAAGGTCGCAAGCCATTTACAAAATGTCAAGGAAGCTTGTCAGGGTCTAGAGAGCAAGGTCAAACATCTTGTTGGTTCGTTGTCTTCTCAAGCACACGCAGACTTCAAAGGGATGAACATCCTCCAGAAGCTGATGGCAAGTCTGCAGCATGTCTTTTGTTGACACAAAGCACAAATGGACCAATGGACTTTGAGGCTGTGTTTTTGAAAACCTATTTGTCGGATAAATGGTCACAGTGACGTTGTGGTCACACTAGTTAACATTTCGATGTCAGGAGAGAAATGTTTAAAACGACGTCAAATGTCACACGTATAAAACCGACCAGACAAATTTGCTTCAGTTCATTCGTCGCTTAAAGTTTTCCGTCGTTGGATCGCTTAAATACATAGCTCTTTTGGAATAAAACACAACTAGTACACGAATTAGCTAGACGGTGATACTTTAATGATAATTTATATTAGAATTCTACTGATAGAAAAGTTAAACCTCCTTATTTAGTTAGTTAACAGGATACACTGGATTCGATTTGACATAATATACTTCATTTTTTATACTGAAACATCTACCATGGAGCAATTTAATTTCTTTAGCCATTGTAGACTGTATATTGTGCTGATGTTAACTTTTTATTGTCAACAAATGACAAGCTTAGCTCAAAAATTAATTGTCTATCCATGTACGGACTTCCAAGCCATTCGTTGGGTGAGGGACTCCACGTTCTGTAACCAGTATTACATTTGTCATTTTGGTCAACCCCTATCAATGCCTGCCTGCCCGTCTGGTCAAGTATGGAGCAATATCGCACTCAACTGTGTACCGCAACACTCCAGATGGGATGACTGTGTCAGCAAACCTCGACTCACTAAAGCTGCAAATAACAACACATACCGTACTACCACCAGTACTGTAACTCGCCAGCCAGCCTATGCTAGTCCCTCGATTGTTCCTCGAAACGAAAACAGTGTGATAATCACTGTAAATAATTTACCAGAGAAGTTAAATCCGTCTAAATCCAAGAAGGTCCCAGGTTTGAGCCACGACTCCATAAAATTTGATGAAAAAGATGGCATTTCTTTGGAGTACCCACATTATCTTGTAGATGTCAGCGGGCACAGTGGAAGTGGGAAACTGATAACTCACATTTTAAAATCTGATGACAGTGACACAGATAAGGTACACATTAATGTGGGAAACGAAGGAAGTGTACATAATTCTTATGACATATTCAAAGAGAGTAAAGAAACAAAAGAAAGTGTGGAGCATTCTAATGACAAATTTAAAGATAGTAGAGAAACAGATAAAAATTTTAAGAATTCTTATGACAAATTTAACAACAGCAGGGAAACAGAAGAAAGTGTCGAGAATTATGATGCAAATTATAAAGATAATAGGGAGGCAGAAGGAAGACTGGACATGTTGAACGGGAAGGAGGTCGTGAACACCTTCTTGCACGAGAAAAAAGCGAGGTCATTCTACAGTTTGAAACATGAACGTATACAGAATCACGGCTCAGAGTTTGGTAAGAAATTTCGCTTTAACATGATCACATCCTTAATGAGTTTTATTATTTAGTTATTTAATAATGTATGTGAATGACAGCAGTTAGATAACTGGGATGGGTTTTTTTTTCTGTTTGTTTAGAAAAAGATGGAGAGATATTGAATAAGTTAGAGAGAAAGAGAGGATAATGTAAAAGAGAAAAAGATGAATAGAGAGAAATAAAATAGATAAAGAGGAGTGGAAACTTTAGAGAAAGAGTATTTAAAAAAAGACGGGAGAGAGAGAGAGAGAGAGAGAGAGAGAGAGAGAGAAAGAAAGAGTGAGAGAAATGGTAGAGGGAAATGGGACAGAGAAAGAGAGATCAAAAGTGAGACGTAATAAGAGAACGCTATCGTCGCAATCACGCGGTTGGGGAGTGAGTATAGGATGTATAAGGAGGGTTAGTAGGAAGGAGTGAGATAAAGAGAATAAGTAAGAGAGAGAGAGAGGGAGGGGGGGGAAGAGAAAGAGAGAGTGAGAGAAATGGTAGAGGGAAATGGGAGAGAGAAAGAGAGATCAAAAGTGAGACGTAATAAGAGAACGATACCGTCGCAATCACACGGTTGGGGAGTGAGTATAGGATGTATAAGGAGGGTTAGTGGGAAGGAGTGAGAAAAAGAGAATAAGTAAGAGAAAGAGAGAGAGAGAGAAAGAGAGAGAAAGAGAGAGAGAAAGAGAGAGAGGGAGAGAGAAAGAGAAAGAGAGAGAGAGAGAAAGAGAGAGAGAGCGATAGAGAAAGAGAGAGAAAGAGAGAGAGAAAGAGAAAGAGAGAGAGAGAGAGAGAGAGAGAGAGAGAGAGAGAGAGAGAGAGAGAAGGAGACATATAATAATCATGTATTAGAATGAGGGCGTTGAGGTCAGTGGGTTCAAGAATTCAACAGAGATTTGTATGTTGAGAAAAAATTTAGAGTGGTACACAATAGTACTGCTGGGTTTCGCATTTCCTGAGAGCCCGGCCTTTTTTTATTGCCCTTAGCTCTCCATGCGGCGTCCGTGGCTAAGGCGTTGCGAGTCCGACTCGCGAGCCAGCAAACCGCGATCGAAACCCACTGCAGGCTGCGTGGATTTTTGTCGTGGTACGGGACGTCGCAGGTCGACCCAGCCTAAAATGGGTACCAAAATGGGCTGTCCTGGGAAAGTAAAGACAGCCGGCGTAATGCTGACCACATTACCCACCGAGAGCTGATTGTCTGTAAAAATATGGAACGCTCTGCCCATATGCCCGATGCGCCGAAAGGCGTGAAAAGGGATCTTTACTTTATTTTACTTTACTTTACTTCACTTTATTTAGTTCTCCATAATAATGACCAGTGCCCTGTTGACCACACCTCTAAACGCTTGTCCACTGATCTATTATTTAAAGCAAATTTTTAGTATGTCGATGATAAAGAACAAGGCATTGTGTTGTAATACTAGCAAAATGTCTAATATGAAAAAAGGCCACGATGTTTTCTGATTTCGTTTGATGCTATCATATTTTTCGTTCACCAACTATTGGCGAATGCACTAGATCTGTCAGCCTTATAAGAGCACAAATACAAATAACTTTAAAATAACACTGTGGTTAGGAAACCTTCTTCAACAGATAAAAACTCAAACAACAACACTATTAAAAATTTGCCTACAACGTCACATAGCCACTTGGTTGCTGTGACGTCTATATCATGTGTCAGTTCTTTCTCTCACTTTCACAGTCCCCACACACGCATACATGCACACACATATATAAACTCCCAACACACGCACACATGCACAGAAATTTATAAACTCTCCACACACGCACACACATATTTAAACTCCCCATACACGCACACATGCACACACATATATAAACACGCACACACAAACAAAAGGTCGTGGGTTCGCTCCCTGGCGGAGCCGGACTTTTTTCCCAAAAATGACCTTAGTTCCCAGGTCGACCCACCCTTGAGTAGGTGGTACCGGGTCAGTCTCGGGAAGTAAAGGCGGCCGGCGTGATGCTGACCAAATCACCCATCTTGTACCGATTGGTCTATAAAATATAGGTCTAGCCCTATATGCTCTATAGGCATAAAGGCGTGGAAAAGGGTTTTCTACTTTGTTACTTTCACGCACATACAGCCAGTGAGGGAAGTTGATTGATGTTTAACCTCACCAGGACATCACACCGAACGATAAACACCAGGTCACAGAAAGTACCACCATTCGGATGAGGATCACCAGAGGACAGGTCCCAGAAAACCCGTTCAATCATTATGTTAAATTATGGTCCCCGAGAACTGCTGGGATGGGGCCTTGAAACAACAAAACATTGCCTTTCATTTAGGGATGTTTATTTTGCAGTGACGTAAGGTTTCTGTTGTGCTCATGATTTTACTGTCTAGTTAACATCATCCTTGATACAAGCATGAAATCTGTCTATTGTATTTATCATAATGCCACCTCTATCGTCAGACCACGAATGCTTCCGTAGTCCTGGAGCATTCCTACCTCATCCAGACAACTGCCACTGGTACTTCAACTGCAGCTTTGCCAATCTAGAGGCTTTAGGAGGTAATACCGAACAACTAGACTTGTTCTCGATGACACCAGGAAGTAGCAGCAGCGGCGAGAAGGATGGTTTCATCCCCTTGAAACCATTCCGTGTGGCGGAGGCTGGTGCCTTCGTTTGGGAGTGTCGCTTCCCGCAGCTGTTCGATGAGATGACGGGCCGGTGTCGGGAATTTGTCAATGTGGATTGCAAGTCCCGTTTTGAGGCAGTTGATCAGTGTAAGTATTTCTTATTTGTCTGTCTGATTATTGTTTGTGACTTGAATACATTTTTTTTTTAAAGACACGGAAGAAGATTGGGCGGTTCCCTTGATCACTCTTGGAAACTTCCTCTTCTTCTACTTCTTTCGTTCGCCTGAAATAAGTTGTCTATATCAGAAAGTTTGTCTATTGTATAAATTTCACTGTCGTTGTTAGTTCATTCAGTGGTCCATAGAGTTTACGTTCCACTGTTGTTCTTTCTGGCCAAAAGGTTTTGCCTTAATGTGTCAAATTCCTGGAGTACATGCTCTGCTGTCTGGGAAAATTATTGGTTTGTACCCTGTGTTTGAAAAACAATACACTCGAGCATCGTCAGTAGTTTATGTACTAGCAAAGAAGAAAAGTAAGTAAAAGTAAAAATGCTTTTTCCAGGCCTTTAGACGATTGTAAATATAGGGCTAAATTTTTACAAGTCCATCATCACTTGGGGATGATGTAGTCAGCGTCACGCCGGCACCAGAGAAAATATGTTAAGTAACTTGCTGGTAAGCATGAGCGAGCAGAGAATAAGAATCACCACAGAGGCAAGGGAATTGAAAACAAAAAGACAAAACAAGCCTTCCTTGATGATGGTTCTACACAAGTCGCGGGAAATAGGATACTAGGAGGTCGAAGAGAATCCCTGCAACCAACTAATGCTGTGCCTTGTACCAATAGTTTCGTGAACAGGGGGGAAAAAGGGGGGAGGGTGGTTGAGAGAGAGTACATTAGGGGTTATACTAGCCTGCTAGATTAGCAGACGGACGAAGTACTGATTTTATGGCCCAATATCTTTTGTAGCACACGTCGTTCCGGACGAATTAGTAGATTACTTTTTATTTGGAGCATGCACAAAAGACCGGCAGATGGATCATGCTGCAAGGGCAACACATTGCCTAGACTTTGTAATACAAGGAGGAGAATATTCGCCCAAACAATGGGCTGTGATCCATGTGCCTCTATAGCAAATATGTTAGTGCTAATTTTTCTGAGCTGGGAGGGAATAAGGAGTCAAGCGACCTGAATTGAGTTATTATTTTCCATGCCGAGAATTGAACTTGGACCAATGTCTAGATAGTTAAACCTTCATAACAACCACTTCAGCGCCGCCATTCTTTAACAGTATATCAGGGAGATAAACGTCTACTATTTTTATGAGCCAATCAAACTAAAGTGGCGTGTGGTTAATATCACTTTTGTCCCTTTAACTTCCATTTAACAATAATGAAAATTATTCACATAAGTGAGACATCGATTAACCATTATTTGTTTACCGACAATTTCTGTCGTCGCCTACAACATAATTTCTTTTCGACACTCTCATTTACTCATTCCATTTGTGTCCCCCCCCCCCCCCCCAACCCCCTTTTTTTTCGTGAATCTCTACTTGTTTCTTCTGTGGATATAACACCATAAGGTTATGTTCTTTGTCTTGTAATGTGGATAACAGGGGTTGTCCAGGCATATCTCTGTTTTCTTGACATTTCTGGAATTAATCCCATTTGAAGTGCATCTGTTTCCTCGGACATTTTTTCATTACAGTACAGAAGTGAAAGTACTCTTTCTCTTTCAGAATATAATGATATTTTTATAGACCTATCGGCAATGGGTGGGGACGCTATCAGCCTCACGTCGACAGTCTTTTACCTGGCACCAATTTAAGGCTGTCTCGACCTGGGGGCCAATTATCATGTTATCTATTCCCCGTCCTTTTTAGGATATAATTTTTCGTTATTTGAAGCCCTACTCTGGCTCTTGCCAGGGGCCGCAATATAGCCTGGCCATAAATATGGCCTAAAGGCTGAACGCGGTTTCTGGGACCTCTCCACGGTGATCCTCACCCACTTGGTGGCACATTTTGTTACTGGGTGTTTATCGCTTTTGTGATGTCCTGGTGGGATAGAAAGTCAGTCAGTCAGTCTGGGAGCCAATTTTATTTCTGGGAAAAAAAAATTATGCTTTGTTAAAATTGGAGCTCCCGACCTTCCATCCTCTACACTACAGAATATCACATAACTAGAAAATAAATAAACTTCCCTTCCACAGGTGAATACTCAGTTCGGCGATGTCGGGGCGAGCGCTGTGCCCCCTGCCACCACAGGTTCGGGCGCTGCCGGGGTCGACCAGACGGGGTGTATCCCTTACACCAAGACGGCTGGGCGCCATCGTTTGTGACTTGCTACCGCCAGAGAAACATCGCCATAGACGAGTGTGTTCCTCCCACGCCAATATTCTCACCTCGGAGTCTTGAATGCGTGTCCCTGTTTGATGTAAGCTGCTTTTAACGCCACTGTGTTTTCATGTTATACACATGTATTAGGGAGCCGCCGTGGTTTACCGCCTAGGCACTGGCCTGCGAATGGGGAGGTGGTGAGTTCGGGTTTTAACGGAGCCGGAATTCTTTCAAAATATGAGCTTGGCTTCAAAGTCGACACAGCTCTGAATGGGTACCAGGTGCAGTCCTGGGAAGTAAAAGCGGCCGGTATGATGCTGACTACATCACCGACCATGTGTCGATCCATCTATAAAAAAAAAATAGGTATCATCCTATATGCCCAATACGCTCTAAAGCATGAAGAAGAGTTTTTTACTTACAGTGTATAAGCGTTAGTGAAGTGCTAAGAAGTTTTTGTTCATACTATGGAAACAAATACAGATGATAGGTATCAGCCTGAGGGGGAAAAAAGCTGTTTGGAGAAGCAACATGATTTGGGACAATTTAGAAACATGGGCCTGAGATAATAATAGTAAATATAACAACCATAAAAGCAAAAAGTTAATTAAAATGAAAAATAATATTTGTTTGTTAAGTTTGCTGGTTTAGTAGTTTGGATGGTTATTAGGCTGTTTATTTAGCTGCCTGGTATTGATTGTGTTGTTGTTTGGCTGACATAGATTTGACTGTGTTGTTGTTTGGTTGACATGGATTTGATTGTGTTGTTGTTCGGCTGACATGGATTTGACTGTGTTGTTGTTTGGCTGACATGGATTTGACTGTGTTGTTGTTTGGCTGACATGGATTTGACTGTGTTGATGTTTTCTGACATGGATTTGACTGTGTTGTTGTTTGGCTGACATGGATTTGACTGTGTTGTTGTTTGGCTGACATGGATTTGACTGTGTTGTTGTTTGGCTGACATAGATTTGACTGTGTTGTTGTTTGGCTGATTTCACATGTGTTGTTTGACTGTGTTGTTGTTCGGCTGTCAGGGATTTGACTGTGTTGTTGTTTGGCTGCCATGGATTTGACTGTGTTGTTGTTTGGCTAACATGGATTTGACTGTGTTGTTGTTTGGCTGCCATGGATTCGACTGTGCTGTTGTTTGGCTGCCATGGATTGACGACTGTGGCTGACATAGATTGACTGTGTTGTTTGACAGGGATTTGGCTTGCCATGGATTTGACTGTGTTGTTGTTTCGATTTGACTGTGTTGTTGTTTGGCGACATGGGATTTGACTTGTTGTTGGCTGACCATGGATTTGACTGTGACTGTGTTTGTTGTTTGGCTGCCATGGATTTTTGACTGTGTTGTTGTTTGGCATAGATTTGACTGTGTTAATGTTTGGCTAATATGGATTTGACTGTGTTGTTGTTTGGCTGTCACATGAAAAAAAAATTTTTTTTTTTTTACTGACTGTAGAACCAATTGTTGTTTGGCTGCCTAGGGATTTGTTGACATTTGTTGACTTGTTTTAATAAAACATTGTTGCCCATGCATTGGATCTTTATGACTGTGCTGTTGTTTGGCTGCCATGGATTTGACTGTGTTGTTGTTTGGCTGCCATGGATTTGACTGTGTTGTTGTTTGGCTGCCATGGATTTGACTGTGTTGTTGTTTGGCTGCCATGGATTTGACTGTGTTGTTGTTTGGCTGCCATGGATTTGACTGTGTTGTTGTTTGGCTGCATTGGATTTGACTGTGTTGTTGTTGAGCTGATTAATGATAACCACAGACGGAGAGGGTTTAATCTATGTATGAACGAAAGGGACATGGAATGATGAGCTTCTACAGCAGTGAGGCTGGTAGTGTTGAGGCTTTCCTTCCAACTGTGCACTAAAATTCCGTTTTCATAGAGAAAGTATTGTACTTTCATCACCAGTATCATCATCAAGTCACTTGCCAGCTGACGTAGGCGTTCATGCATCTTCACAGATCTCAGTCTTTGGGTTCTGGATCAATTCCACTGATGATATTCCTCCATGCCACTGTCTTAAGCCATTTATCATCATTTCTTTTGGTCTGCCTCTGCGTCTTCTACCAGCGATCTTTCCAGTCGTCATGATATTTTCCAGATACTTTCTCACCAGTCTTTAAATTAACAAACCTTGCAGTCTAAAAGTGTCTTGATAGTTTTAACACGTCTATGCATAATTGTACCTGAATGGTCATTACATACTATGTTTGAATTTGTTTATTTATAAAGACATTTCCTGACAAGTACCCTTATAATACACCCAATAGGTACCCAAGACACAGGGCGGCTTCCTGCCAGACTGCGTCACCCGTCCCGATGGTTATTACCCAGACGAACAAGGCAGGTGTGGCATTTTCTTCCGGTGTGCTCTGGGAATATTTCGAGGTTACGATGAATGTCCGCCAGGAACTGTATTCGACCCGGCCATCCCTGCTTGCCAGTCTTACAGGTACATTTAAAGATGTGTTCTTTGTCTACGCTCAAAAAGGCACCGTACTTGCAATATTTAATTACATATCATAGACTAATAGGAACTATTGTAGAATGTGCAGTATCCTCGCAGGAGCAACGGCAAGGGAAGTTGGGGTAAAAAAGGGGGCGGGGGAGGGGGAGCGGTGGCATGCGTTTGAGCTGAGAAATGAAAACCTATTGTTAGTAATTTGTATAGTTGATATAAGCTGGGTGAAAAAGACACTTTCCATACCTTAAGGCTTTTTGGGAATATAGGGCTAGACCTTTTCTTTTGTATAAACTAATCGACACTTAATTGCTTATGTTGTCAGCATGACTCTGGCCACCTTAACTTTGCAGGACTTTTCATAATTTAAGGCTTGTCGACGTGGAAGCCAAGATTATTTGTGAAAAGAAGTTCGGCTCCGCCAGGACCTGAACGCATGACCTTTAGCTTTCGATAAGCCACTACGGCTTCTCAGTCGAATAGGTACAAGACATTGAATATCTATGTATCCACTTTGATAGATGTCTGTACTTCTGATATCTTGTTGATGAGGTCATTATAAAACTCGGCTGTGTAGCAAAGAAAGTAGATAGGCCAAACGATTCCTGCTGGGTACTTTGACCAAGGAGACACCTAAATGACTGCTGCATCTGAGCACGGGAAACGAATGGTTCGGTCCGATTTGCTAGAGTGCTAGCGGAAAGAAGGTAAAAAAACAGAAGCAGGGAGAAAATGAAAAAAAAAATGTGATAAGGCAATAAGTAGTTGTTCCCCGCTAAACAGCAAAAACAGGACATGTAAAAAAAGAACAAGGGTTCTTTTGTGCAGGGGCCATGAAATGGGATCATCAAAACCGTGGTCAAGGATGTGTGAATAATTGTATTACACAACAACAGCTGACTACAACTACATATTACTACACAGGCAAGGCATAGAAACCACTTGCGCGAACTAAAAGTTCTATCTTGAATGAAGCAAATGAATCTTTTATTATTTTTTTTTTTAAACGGAACACACAGATAGCGTTTAAAATAACACATAACAATACATTAACAACCAATATCGTGACTACACAGGCCATGCGTTAAGTACCTCAGCTAACAAAAGTGAAATTTCACCTCTAGCGGCCAGCAATGGAACTTATCTCCTAGTGAGGATACACACTACTAATCTAGGTCTGAAAAGTTTAACTACTAGAGATAAATCAGATTTATCTAAAATGGAAATTTATATCTAACACCATGTAACTATTGAACTATCACTTCTCACTTCTTCTTTACTTCCCATTCCTAGGTCACTTCCAATTCCTTCTTCATTTCATACCCATCCTTTACTTTCCACTACTCCGTCACTTCCAACTCCTCCTTCATTTCCCACTCCTCCTTCACTTTCCACTCCTCCTTCACTGCCCACTCATTCACTTCCCACTACTTTTTTACTTCCCACCCCTTCTTCACTTCCCACTACTCCTTCACTATCCACTGCTCCTTCACTACCCACTACTTCCTTCCCACTCCGTTTTTCACTTTTAATAAGTTTTCATTTCAGCATAGAAACTCGACCATCTCACGAAAAAGTTATTTATAATCTTCTTCAGGAAATGCTGACATTTGCAACTACAGTTTTCTACTGAATGAGGTAGTCAGTCTTACCCCCAGCAGTCTCTTACAAAAGCCCCAGTGCCGAAGAAAAACTATGTGTATCATGTGTATAAAGTAAATAATAGATCAATTTATAAGTCAGATTGATGGCAGTTCATGTGAGCAGAGATTGCACGAAAATAACAAGCGGGAAGTGACAGGCGAGAAGGACGGATGCGAATTTAAACATTCTTTCTCTTCTTTACTTTATCTTTTACCTCTTCAGGTGTCGAGGGAGATTAAGTTCTTATTCTGCATCTCATTATCCCCCCAAATTTAATAACACTTGGTTCTGTTTAAGAGTTTCTCTCATGCTACCCTTCCATTTGTCTCTTTAATATGTTTGTAGTAATAATATGTCTATTAAAACGTTTAATGGAACTGCTCAAATTTAGTAAATAATTTGTAGTTGGGTGTAGACAACGTACCGAAACGTCAGTTTATCTTCTCCCCCTGACAGCTTGGCCTCAAGTCCTTGCGGAGAAAGTCACAATGTCCAGTGTGGAGGAAAACTGGACGGTTATTACGCTGACCCCTACGGCAGATGCACCAACTACTTCCAGTGTCAACATGGCGTCTTTCAGCAGTACCTCTCTTGTGACCTGGGCATCTTCGACCCACTGACTCAGAAGTGTGTCCTATCAGCAGAGCTGACCGTCAGGCCATGCGGACTTCAGGTGTGCTATTTTATAGTGTCTGTCTCTTAAACAACATAGAGCTTCATTTTTAGTATTATGTTAAAGACCGGTATTATATGCGGAATATTTCCTATACCATGGCTCCCATTTTGGGAGAAAAACAATAGACCCGCTGGACCATAACCAGCATGGCGTAGCAGTCGACTAATTGGGGTTATTTCTTGCGAAGTCTGAATGCATCTGCTCGAGAGGCAAAGAATCAACAGTCTGCTTACCCAAAAAAAGCCAGATCTGTAAAACGGATGTGCACGCAAAACTCAAGTTCTGGAACAAGATCTAAGTCCAGAAGTTGATGAACACTTGGAACTTTCAGCTGGAGTTGAATAATAATAATAATAATAATAAGAAGAAGAATTAGAAGAAGAAGAATAAGAAAAAGACATGCTAAAAATACATTCTTTCTTTCTTTCTAAAAATAGAAGACAAAAGACAAAGCAAGAAATAAAGAAATGTTTATGAATAAACATAAACTTTTCTCTTTTTTTTTCTTTCTTTCTTTCTTTCTTTCTTTCTTTCTTTCTTTCTTTCTTTCTTTCTTTCTTTCTTTCTTTCTTTCTTTCTTTCTTTCTTTCTTTCTTTCTTTCTTTCTTTCTTTCTTTCTTTCTTTTCTTTCTTTCTTTCTTTCTTTCTTTCTTTCTTTCTTTTCTTTTTCTTTTCTTTCTTTCTTTCTTTCTTTCTTTCTTTCTTTCTTTCTTTTTCTTTCTTTCTTTCTTTCTTTCTTTCTTTTCTTTCTTTCTTTCTTTCTTTCTTTCTTTCTTTCTTTCTTTCTTTCTTTCTTTTTCTTTCTTTCTTTTCTTTCTTTCTTTTTTCTTTCTTTCTTTCTTCTTTCTTTCTTTCTTTCTTTCTTTCTTTTCTTTCTTTCTTTCTTTTCTTTCTTTCTTTCTTTCTTTCTTTCTTTCTTTCTTTTCTTTCTTTCTTTCTTTTCTTTCTTTCTTTCTTTCTTTCTTTCTTTTTCTTTCTTTCTTTCTTTCTTTCTTTCTTTCTTTCTTTCTTTCTTTCTTTCTTTCTTTCTTTCTTTCTTTCTTTCTTTCTTTCTTTCTTTCTTTCTTTCTTTCTTTCTTTCTTTTTTCTTCTTTTCTTTCTTTCTTTCTTTCTTTCTTTCTTTCTTTCTTTCTTTCTTTCTTTCTTTCTTTCTTTCTTTCTTTTTTCTTTCTTTCGTTCTTTCTTTCTTTTTTTCTTTCTATCTTTCTTTTTTTTTAATTATTTCTTCCTTTTGTTCTTTCTTTCTGTCTTTCTTTCTTGCTTGCCTTGCTTACTTTATATTTCTGGTACGTTGTATTGTTTGATTAGACTCAGATCTGGAGTATTTCAGGTATTTGCTACCCTAGTGTATTAGGCAAAGAACAAGTGGATAAACTGGCTGCTTCGCTCTTCTAAGCCGCGGGTCACTGTGTGATTAGGTGGAGGACGTGGGGGACCTTTAGAAACGTACAGAGCGTATAACAGTAAAGAGTATCTATCTATACATGGATAGAGTGAATTCAGCGAAGAGTGGGTAGAGGGTCTGGAAGCATCATATAAAGTGTGTTTTTAATGAGTGCGCCCCTGGCACCATCGCTATGGCACATATGCATTGATTCCTGATGATGTGACGAACAAGTGTTGGGTGATGTTCATTCTTGACCCAAATCTACCTTAAACGGCTATTAACTTGGCAAAATAAACACAACGCCGAAAGCGTCAACTCGTGTTGCAGAGCGAACTGATGCATCAAAACAATAATTTATTTAGTGTAACTTAAGTCAAGATAACAGCAGTCATTACGTCAACATGGTATTGTGATTCAACTTTATAGCCAAGCCCATGTGAAGAGCTACCAACTGGCGTGTATCCAGATATAGCAACCGGATGTAAACATTTCATTGAATGTCACCATGGCAACATGATCACCAATGGGACTTGCCAAGCTGGAGACGTTTTCAGTGCAGTTACAGGTTTGTTTGTTGTTTATTTACTTCATAAAACATTGCAAGTCATTACGTGTGTTGGCAGGGGAAATAAGGTTCTTGGGGAAAATCCAGACAATACTAAGTACAGACAGAACAATGAACAACGTAGCATGTCAAGATACAGATGAAACGCGTCAATTTAATTATTACAATTGAGAGAGGACTTAGGAAAAGAAGAAATGATGAGGAAGAAGAAGTGGTAGTAGCAGAAGAAGAAGCAAAAGAAGAAAAGAAGGAAAAGGAGGAGGAGGAGAAGAAGAAGAAGAAAAAGAAGAGGAAGAGAAGGAAGAGAAAGAGAAAGAGGGGGAGGAGGAGAAGAAAAAGAAAAAAGAAAAAGAAAGAAGAAGAAGAAGAAGAAGAAGAAGAAGAAGAAGAAGAAGAAGAAGAAGAAGAAGAAGAAGAAGAAGAAGAAGAAGAAAAAGAAGAAGAAGAAGAAGAAGTGTTGGGGGAGGGGCGCAAATGTAAGGATCATTTGTAACCTATTTCTATTGCATTGTCCAAGCTAGTGTTCATTTCTGTTAGGTTGCTGTTGATGGTGTCGCTTCATCTCTTGTGTGGTCTTTTCCTTGCTCTGTAGTCATTTTATTTCCTCAACGTGGCTCTCTGTGGCAGCTGGTACCAGGGTATTCTTTTCAGGTGGCCAAACCATCTCATTTATTGTTCTTTAATGAATCGTATGACTGGTTTCAGACATAGCCTTCTAATTTTATCATACCTGGTTTTATCTCTTTTTGTCACACCGGCAGCTCTCCTAAGACATCATCAAATCACTGTTGTTACGATCTTCCGCTCTTTAGTTGTAGTAAGGGTCCATGTTAGGCATTGGTAGCACAATGTCAGCCAAAAATCCGTTCTTATGAGATTAGCTTTGGTTGATAGAGGTATCTTTCTAGAAATGCGTCAGAAACAGTGTTAATTGTCCAATAACCTGATTTGCTTTCACACATCGTATGTTGATTTCTTTCTCCATTCTATCATCTGAGGTGAAAAATGACCCTACATATTTAAATTCATTTGCTTGTTTTATTTACTTTACTTGATATCATTTCCTCTTGACTACATATTACCATTGTCTTTGTCTTATTAAGGCTTATCCTCATTTTATATTTCGCACACTTAGTATTAACTTGGTCTCTATGGTTCTGTAAACTCTCCTGTTTCAGCTAATAATACTTGGTCATCTGCGAATGACAATTTTGAGATAGCATCTTTTTCTTCACTCTCTGCTTCTTTGTATATATTGTATGTGTATGTTATTAAAAGCAGGGGAGATAATACACATTCCCATCTTACTCCTTAATTTAGATCAATGTTTTCTGATTCCATATCTTCTTAAGCAATTCCACAATATATTAATATTCACTCTGTCAAATGCTTTTTCCCGGTCTACAAATGTGACTTTGCATGTCTTATCATACTCTTCATCAATGTTTTCTTATTCCATATCTTCTTAAGCAATTCCACAATATATTAATATTCACTCTGTCAAATGCTTTTTCACGGTCTTCAAATGCGACTTAACATACCTTATCTTACTCTCTTTTTGTCAACTGTTTTAATGTAAATATTTTGCTTCTTTTACATCTGAAACCCATCTGGGCTTTTGAAAGTTGTTCTTCTAATAATGTTCTTAATGTTCTTTGCAATTCATCCCTTTTAGGACGAAATTTTTTGTCATTTGAACCCCTACTCTGGCTTTTGCCAGGGGCTGCAATATAGGCAGGCCATACATATGGCCAAATGTCTGAACGCGGTTTCTGGGACCTCTCCACGGCGATCCTCTTCCGCTTGGTGGCACTTTGTGTCATCGGGTGTTTATCGCTTGTGTGATGTCTTGGTGGGGTAGAAAGTCAGTCAGTCAGTTAATCTTCTTTGCAATAAATTGGCTTACATTTTCCCTTTGTGGCTTAAAAGTGATAAACCTCTGTAATAAGTGCACTCTTTTTAACTCCCTTTATTTGTCAATACCGGTATAATTTTTGTGGGTTACCAGTCCTCTGCTATTTCTTGCTTTTGTCTCTCCAGCTGCTTTGGTGGCTTCTGCAGGGAGGTTTTCAATACGTCGCTTTGTGCCTTTGAGCTATCTTTATTACATTTTCTACTTCTGTCAGTAGAATTGCGGGCTCTATTGTATTCATCTCTTCTGCTGTGTTTGTTATAGTATTGCTGTTTGCATTGTCATCTTTATTCTTGCAATTTAGTAGTTCTTTAAAATAGTTACTCCATCTCACTAGAATCATTTTGGCGCCTAAAATAGGTTGTCCTCTTTCATCATATAGTATTTCTGTTGGATTATATTCCTCATTGCTTTGTCTTATCCCTCTAACTTTCTTGTAGTTTCTTTTTCTGCTTTTTCCTCTGCTGCCAACATTTCTCCAAACTTCTCCCATGAATCTTTCTTGGCTGTTTTTATTGCTTTTTTGCTTTTACCAGAACTAATTTGTGAAAAATAAAATCTAGTATAAAATACAAACCACAAATGTAATTAACAATGAGCTGAAAATGTCTCTAAAGGATTAATGATAAGTTGCGAGTCACTTCAATTCTGTATCTAGTGCCCTTGATTATCGATTCAAATATAACATATGTGAAATCATATTCATTGAAGATTTGTTCATTTATTAACCTTAGCTTCCTGGTCGACTGAGTCTGGGTACTGCGTAATGACCTGGGAAGCAAAGGTGGCTGGTATGGTGTAGACGACATCACCGTAGATTACACACTAGATAAAAAATATTAAATAGCGATACGCACCAAAAACGTCCCTTAAGTAAAATGATTTTTTTTTAAATTCTACTGTTCCTGCATAAGTCTGTTAAAAAAATGTAAGTTTGTCCTAATTTGAATAGTTTATATAACCTTTGTTTAAAAAAAAAACAACCTTCTTTTTACTTTGCATTGATTAGTTTCCATTTTTTTTAAATGCACGTACTAAATTGTTAATTTCGCAGATGTAATTAACAATCGATGACTCATTTAAAGAATTTGGCGTACGAGCAATGCTTTCTTTATGACTTTCCCAAAAATGCTCTCGGAATTTCTGCGTTAATCACATGTTATTGTTAACTTGATTCTACTTCAAAATGGCACAATTGCATGTTAATTTGATATTACTTATCCATCAAATTTGGGGGCCGTCGTGGTGTAGCGGCTAGGCGCTCTCCTGGGTTGGGGTTCTGACAAGGCCTGAGTTTTTTCAAAATTGACCTTGCCTCCAAGGTCAACATAGCCTTGAGTGAGTACCAGGTGCAGTCTTGGGAACTAAAGGCGGCCGGCGTGATGCTGACCACGCCAAGCGCCGATTTTGGGTCTATAAAATATAGGTCTAGCCATATATTCCATTAACATCTAGAGGCGTGAAAAAGGCTTCTTTACTTTTGCATACTGTACTATCTATCACACTTAACCCGCAATTGCTGCATGTTAGTGTGTAAAATGTTAACACTCTGTTTTAGGAAAGTGTGGCCTCCCAGAATACGCGCCGCCTCCGTGTGCGATGTCCACCATGTGTGTGGGTCAGCCTGATGGGCGGTACCCAGCAACAACTAGGGGGTGTAGTTTCTTCTACGAGTGCTTTCATGGAGACTTCCTGGGACTGCGGCGCTGTACGGAGTCTGATGGAGGCATCTTCTTCAATCCAGATACGGGTACCTGCGACTATCCCCAGAATATATGTCCTCCTTGCGGCTACAAATGGTGGGGATGGTAAGATATTTCATTTAAGATATTGCGTGTTTCTTGTTCTTGTTCATTTCATTTTTTATTCAAAATTTGTGAATGTTTATCTTTCCAATGTAAGAGTTGGTAGTATGTGAATATGAACCCACTTCACAGTTGCTAAGGAGGCTAAGTTGATTCAAGAAGCGACAACAAAGCACTCATGGCATTTCCATAAGTGCTCTGTCCCCATCCCCAGCAGCCAGCTTAGAGTTCCAATACCAATGGTACCAGTTGCAGTCTGAGTATATATCCGTCTTGCCTTTTCCCTCAGCATCGAGTGTCGGCCAGGTGCCCTTGTCACTTCTCGCTGCATCACTCTCACCTGACTGATAATTGATTTGTAACCCAGAATCGCAACTACAAAAAAGGAAGTCTTTCAATTTGATGTTAACATTATATAACAATGAGAGAAATGCAAGATGTCAAGACGCGGTTATACGCCTATTTAGGCAGCAATGTAGATAAAGATGATAAAGATATTAAAATACGAATACAAAAGGCAAGGGACATGTTTATATCACTAGGAAATCTATAGAAATTTAAAAAAAAAATACTACAATATTAAATAATAAAGTTACAATATTTAGCTTTCATGTCAAATCAGTTTGCTGTAAGGAGCTCAGTCGCGAAGAACAGTTACAAAAATTACTAGCAAACTACACAAATTCATTAAAATAACAGTAGGAATTAACTAATTTAATAAAATGATTAATGTGTAGCTTTAGGTGCGAAAATAGCAAGTTCCGATGAATGAAGACGTGAAGTTCATATGCTGGCGTTGGATAGGACACCCACAAAGAAACCATGAGAATCAATGCAACTAGAATGTTTTTTGCACTGGAACCATCAGAGGCATATAAATAAAGACAGGAAAAAAAATACACTTAGAAGAAATTTAGAGAGTGAAATTAAAAAGACATGGAGCAAGCTGTATGCAATAGCAAAGAAAAGAACAACCTGGCATGAGTTGGTTGAAGGCTTATAATTCATTGGGGGAATATTGGCAAAATGAGAAAGTGTGTAAAGAAGGAGGTACACACACACACACACACACATGTGGTGTATGTACGTATGTATCTATGTGTATATGCGTCTATGTGTGCGTGCGAGGGTGTGAATGTGTGAGTGAACGGTTGACAAAGGAAAAAAAATGGAAGGCATAATCCGTGAAAGAGAAGACAGACAGTCCTGCAAAGACACAAATAATTATAGAAAGCCTAGCACGAGGCTGGGGAACCAGAGATAGATCTACCGTCATTCCAAGATGCATTGGCAAGAGCCACGTCCCTTTAAGCTCTTGTTTATGATTGTATATCTCATACCGGGAATACAAAAGAGTTGATATGACGCCATCCTCGGCGTTCCAATACAAAACATGAAAATGAGCTCACATGACTAAGATTTGCTCTCGTACTTAGTTCTCGTCGTGTAGTTCTTTGCTGACAGTGGTTGAAGTATACAGAGAGAATATCTGAAAACAGCGAGATCAAAACAGTCTACACAAAACGAGTAACTGAAAGTTGATCACCAGGCAGACCAACAAGACTCTGGAGTGAGATATACAGGCAGATCTACAAACACTTAGTGTAACCAACTGGAAAAAGAAGACAAATCATAGAGATAAATGGAGGCGGTTGATATATGTGGCGATGAACGTCAAGGGTGTCGGACAACTTGAGAAGAAGAAGAGGAAGACAAAGAAGAAGAAGAAGCAGAAGCAGAAGAAGAAGAAGAAGAAGAAGAAGAAGAAGAAGAAGAAGAAGAAGAAGAAGAAGAAGAAGAAGAAGAAGAAGAAGAAGAAGAAGAAGAAGAAGAAGAAGAAGAAGAAGAAGAAGAAGAAGAAGAAGAAGAAGATGAAGAAGAAGATTTACATTGTGAAGAATAGGGCAAGAAATATATTAAAACGCCGACTGACTGACTGACTGACTGACTGACGCTCATCCCAGCAGGACCGCATGACGAGCGATATACACCAGGTGACACAAAGTACCACCATTCGAATGAGAATCAAACGAAACGATGACGTTAGCTGAATTTATAACCCCACAAAAGCCGCTGGGAACAAATTGTAACTCAAAACACTGATCTATTTCATTGTTATGTTTTGTAAATGTTGTAACACAAAGTAATAGGATTATTGCATACTCCACAGTGCACGAGCAGATCACCTTTAAGACCTGCCCATGAACACAGCTAAAAACAGGACAAGAGGGTCATTGACGTCATAAGCAATATGCATCGTACGTGAGTGCTCAGGAGCTTTCACTAAAGAATCACAGACAATCTTTCAATGGAATGTGAAATTATTGACACGACAGCTGCACTGAGATGGAAACTTAGCGTGTTGTCAGTGGTTAGGTCTGTTAGAGGTCAAAGGGACGCAACCCCATAAAATAATACGAATGACCTGCAAAATAGGTAAAGTGTAATAATATTTTGACACTACTCTCTTTTTTCCTCACTCTTTCTCTCCTCTCTATTGTTGTTTATGATTGTGACGTTCTTCTGCTAAACCTGCTTGTCCTTTGTCTCATTTATTAACATATTTTCCCTATATCACAATCATCCCCAGATTTTCTCGCCTGGTAGCGTTACCCTCGTGTTCTTTTTATTTCTCTTAAGACGATTCCTCACATTATTTGTAGACTCAGAGTTAAATTTTAGGTCGAAAGGCTAGAACTTCATTACAGCAAGCTTATCCCATATGGCTCAGTCTTTCTCCGCTAAACAGCCGACAACGTCGCACAAAACTCGAACCCTGTAGCTCTGGCGACGATCCCAGTAATTTCCGTAAAAATTGCGCTCAATGAACTGAATGGCGTTGCCGTCCAAGGAACCCACGACCCCCAGAGTTCGAGGCTAATGGCTTGACCACTGTGCCACGGAGATCTTCGATTTGTTGACCCGGGACTAAAAATCTTATCAGGCTGCTCAATACAAACAACTTTGTTATGGCAGTCAGTTTCAAAGACTGACTTTGTAATAAGTAGTTCTTTACATGGTTTCAACGCTGGTCTGTCGTGTGTTTATGTTAATTTGTGCATACTTTGTACAGATTGTGTCAATAATGTGCGAATGCTACCATAAGAGACGTAAATGTGTTAACTTAATCTTGTTAGAATGAAAAAAGATTGTATATGTGTCTATGCATATTTATTTTTTTCTAAACTTAGTTGCAAGCAGGGTACATGACTAAAACTACTTTTACTGTTAAGTGAACCTGTAAATAAGAAATGCCGAGCAGTAATGTAACAAGAGGGAGGAAGGTAACAAATACCCTCATCACATTTTCACGCTGTAACGCTAATAAACAGAGGATGCATTCTAATGAAATAGTGCTAGCGCGTTAAAATAAGAAATTATAAAAAAAGGTGTACAATATGGATGAGGTATTTTGTTGTAAGAACATTGCAATTAGCGAAGTTTTTTTGTTCTAACTCTATGGTCTTAAACAGAATGTGTCGTATGGTTGGGAAGGGGGAGGGGAAGAGGTGCACAGTTAATGCAACATTCAGGGATCAGTTTCCAACAGCAGCAGGATTTTGCACTGACTAATTACAGACTCACCCTTGATCTACACGCATAGCATCTGTACACGAGATGGAACGTCATGTGGCCACTGGAAATATATGTGGAAAACGAAATAGAGAAAGACAACTTATGGAGATTCCTGACAGCCTTTTGTCATGGCAAAGTGTGTCACCGCAGGAACTAATACATGCTGTTGAAGATCGCAGATTCTAGTGACGCGTGATCGCCCACGCCAGTCGGCAATGCATTTGAGGATGATGATGGTGACTAGAGATTGATGATGTCGTGACAGCTAGACTGTCGACTGCCGTTTTAAAGATACTGGTGCCCGGCTCTCTAGCGTAGTTGGCTAAACCTAATTGCGCAGAGACCGGGTGACGAACTCCTTGTGGTCCGGGTTCAATCCCGGGGGTAGGCAGGAAAGCCACATTTTCTCCCAGATTTACTGTATTTACAATGGAATCAAGGCCGAAAGGTTGCGATATCCAAAATACCGAGCCTAAGGGTTAACAACTCATGGCTTCTGGATACTAAAACAAACAAAGATACTGGTATCGAATCCACATTAAGACATAATTTAATTTAGCCTCCACGTTTAAAATGGGTACAAATTATTGTCCAGGGAAAAAAAGGCGGCCGACGTGATGTTGAGTACGTCAACCATATTTTACAGATTGTTCTATAAAAGCAATAGTCTAGTACCGCATGACAGATGGATACTGGCGTTTAGATGGTTCCCTACCTTGCTGGAGTAGATTTAAAAGGACAAGACGATCAGGAATTCACATGCCTGCAAAAATGCAAACTCAAATTATCCAGGCTTGATGTGCGGACATAACTAAAAATTTACCCATTTGTAGTGGTATGGTTGTCGGCTCTGTGGCTAAGTTGATGTGAAGGCTTCGTAATGCCGGAGTACTGGGTTCGATCCCAGCTGCGGGCCATGCGCCTTGCGTTGGTTTCGACAGTGGTATCAAGGGGCCGACCGTCCAGTAGATAATGGTAAACTACTGAACGTAAATTTGCCTAGAGAAACCACACAACAGCCAGGGGCTGCTGGGGTTGGTTCTGCAACGTCCTGTAAAGGATACGCAACTAACTTTTAGTATTATGGTTATTGTGCTTGTCCCTTGAGCAGACGTTGACTGTCCCGGAAACATTTTCACATCCCGCTGGGATAACTCTAGCCTCCTCCTATTATTCGTACAAGCGAGCGGTCAAAAATGTGCTTGTCTTCCAGAAAAGTACATCATAATTACAATCGCCAAACTCTCTTTTGTGAGTTGGTTTCTGAAATGTGTTATTCATCATGGATCGGAGCTCATTTTGCATACTCTTTTTATTCATTTCTGATAACTGGTATCGCTGGTTCTTCATCCTCGCACGAATAGTTTTGGCGTTTGTTCCATTACCCAGACACCACAGGGAGGCGTATAGCCTTGCAATATTCTTTAGACACAAACTGTTACTTTCTTCCACGTACAGAAACTTCCAAACCCGATTACATGCCTGCAATCATGTACATAATGTTTAAAGTCATTTCATTACCATCATATTTATAATCATGATATAATTGTTCAATGTTATCGCTTGTATAATAAAAGCTCGCTTGTAGCCGCATTTTGCTGCACATTTTGTAGCAGTAATTTGTATCTTAGCATGTCGCTTTATGGCTGTATTGTATTACTTATAACTTGTACAGTGTACAAAATGCTCACTTTAAAAATTAGCCATTACACTGTGATGATGATATTTTTTTCTCTAATTTCTTTACCGTTGTTGTTGTTGTTGCTGCTGCTTGTTTGTTGTTGCTTAACTATGATTATTGAGGCTGTTACACCTGCACGCCCCAACTGGCACGTTCTCTTATTTTCTTGGGGTTCCAGAATGTTGTGGGATCATTGCGAGGGTCAACTGATTTTAACCAGCATCAGTAAGTTTTTGCCATGAAATTTCTCTTGCAGCTTGAATCCTGTTTTTAATATCCCTGTTCATCCAATATCTTCGTCTACTTCTTCTTCTTTTGTCAAAATCTGCTTGTGCCGCTAGGCGTCGCAGTCTATCAGATGATCGGCAACCAAGCCAGGGCGCGCTCAGTCGCTTCATATGCCGTGATGTTATGAAGTCTCAAGTTGTCCGTGACTCCTTTAATCCATCTTCTTCTTGGTCTTCCCCTGCCTCTTGGTGTTTCGATTTTCATGTTGTATGCTCTTGATGCTGGCATCGTTGGTTCCATTCTTATTAGGTGACCAAACCATTTCATTCTTTGCTTCTCAATAAATTTAACGATGGGTATGGTTCCAATAGTTCTTGTAATCACATCGTTTCTCACTCGATCTTTTCTGGTTTTATGTCCAAGTCTGACATTGATAACCTAATGTCGGTATAAAGATTGTATTTATCTAGTTTGTTTACAATGAGTGAGAGATGGCTGACCTGTTCTCGAGCTCTGATTGTTGTTACGTTTAATGGATTTTCGTCTACACTGCTGCCTAAATGGGTGAATGATTCCACCCTCGAAGTAGGCATTTATCTAAGAAGACAGGGATAACATTGACTCCATATGTGTCTCCTTATCTTTGTCCTTTCCCTATATGTACTTCTTGACCTCATAGTTGTGAACATACAGTTTGTTTCTCCAAGTACCAGTCAGTCGTTGTGACTTTACTTCTCAAGCACCTCATTGAGCGTTAATATTGTCAAGGTTATTGTTATTCTATTATATTATATTATAAGTGTATCAACACTATCATTCTGGATGCCAGTGCCTTGGAGTTTCAGCATCTTACAGCCTCCCTCCCCCACCGACCTCGAATACAAATACAAATGTAATGGGAGGGATCTTAGACATACAATGTTTTAGTGAGCTAACCTTTCCCTTACCTCCTCTCCCCCTGTTTTTATCCTTCGCCACATCATTTATATATCTTTTTTTCCTTGTTTACTATTTTGCTCGAAATGTAGTGTATTTATTTATCATTTAGCGTATGTTATTGTCATTATTATAGCATTATTATTATTATTATTGTTATTATTATTATTATATTATTATTTTTTTAAACTATGTATCCACCCCTAGGCTTCTATCATCAGTCATCAGGCAGTAATATGTCCTTAGAAGAACCTTGGTCCAATAACAACCCTACCAAAACATCTCCTAGAACAATTTTGAGGACTAAGCGCCCCCCTCCCACCCCTTTCCTAGCCACTCTCGCCACCCCTCTCCCACCCAAGATATTTTTTTTTGTACCGGTGATAACAGTAGCACCAGTCTGTGTGTGGTTTGTGTTTAATTCAACATGGCACCCAGTCAGGGTCCAATCTTCTGTGAATAACCAAATAACCTTATGTAAATACAGTGTAATTATGTAATATATTATGTGGACGTTTTACAAAATATATTTTGTGACATGTAAAATAAATATGACATATTTGTTGATATGAAGTGTTATTGTTGTATTTTTTCTTGTTTAATATTGACAAAAATCTGGCATGTGCTAATCTGATTTTTAGAATATCATAGTCAGGTTTGGGGGTGGGGTGCTGGAAGAGGGGGGTGGGGGCGAGGGGAAGGGGGGGGGGGGTTCAAGGAGGATACTGACTGTCCAAAATACTTGACCTTTGAAGAAAACTGACTCGTAAACAGCGTCTTGTCT